CTGTACACTTGGTATTTTCCTAAATTCTTACATGCATCAACTCATATCCCCAATCCTATCAGATTGGCTGTCATTATGATCTTCCCAGCAGAAAAAAAAAAAAATTAACACTGGTTGGGGGTATTGCTCAACGCATGCCTAACCAGCACGCACAAGGTCCTAAATTCAACCTCCTGAATTACAAAAGAAATAGATATGCATATAAATTTAGTTTAGTACAAATTTGTAGGTTGGACGTACAACTGAAAATATTACACTGCCAGTATTTAAACCTGGGTCTTTGTGACCTTGAGTAGAACATTTAGAAGCTCGCAGAGGAAAATGCAAAAGGCAACTCCAGCAGTTGCCGCTGATGTTGCTTATAGCTAGCAATTACTGCTAAGTCCTGCCCCGGAGGTGCGTGTTCAAGGCTTCAAAGAAGGAATGCAAATGGCGGAGCCAGCTCCGTAGGGCAGAAGAGAAGTGTGGTTAGAAAAATGTGGAAGAGGGGTCAACAGACACATCTTTTTTTTTTTTTTTTTTAAACGTACTAGCATTTAATACGAAGGGGGCCATGTTGGTAAAGACATTGCCTATGTTTAAGGAGCTATAACGTGTTTTAGGGACTGAGGAACCTGGTGGCTGAACAGGAAGGAAGATGATGAAGTTGGACAGAGAGACTAGCACTATTCCTTTCTGATACCGATGAGACTCGTTTTAGAAAAGGATCCTTCCAGCAGAGTAGAATCGGGGAGGAAATGAGGTCCAATGAGGGACTCCTGAGAACTGTGTGCAGGAGGTGATGGACTGGGCTACCAGAGAAAAGACAGCGGGAATGATGGGGAATACCGGTGAAGCTTTGCCTCTCAAAATGTGCGGTGTTGCAGTGCGAGTCCCTATAATAGTCACGGCTTACAGTACTGTATTTACTTAGGAATGGCATACCTTCCTGTGCTCACAGCTTGTCGGGGCTCTTTCACTATTCTGCCTTACCTACCCAATTCACGTGATTCAAGCCTCCAGAGACTGAGCGGGGCTAGCTAATGAGAGGCCCTAGCAGAAAACAGAGGTGGGTGGGGCTTACAACCTGGTCCCCCAACCTCAGACTGTCTTCTGAGAGCAACAGCTGCAGCTTCCTACCTGAGAGTCCTACCTAAAGAGTCCTAATCCCGACTTTTAAACCTTGCCGCCGAGCTTTTGAAGTTTTTGGATTCAAGTAATGGTGTAGAAGGAAGGCACAGTTAGGCACAGTGAGGCTGAGGAATTTGCTTGAGGCTGCTTGGGTGGGGAGAAGAGCCAGGCTCTAAACTCAAGAGACATTGCTTGGTACAGCTGTGCGCACGTGCCTGGCAGATGCTGGGAGAGATGAGATGAGCCGCAGTGAATATGGCTGCTTGGAATGGTGGTTGCTGGGATAGTCAATACACTTTCTGTTTATAAACTGCTGATGGATGAAGTCCTTAGTCCTTAGATTGACTGGAAGGGTTTGAAATCTAGGGCAGAAAATAGTTTTATTTTCTATGGGAAAGTTTAATGACTTTGGTAAAAATCAGTATCTGCTTATTGTAAAAAGTTCGGGGTGCTTTTTTTTTATGTTGTTGTATTGTTTTGTTTTGAGAGAGGGTCTCTATACATAGCCCTGGATGTCCTGGAACTCACTAATAGACCAAGCCTGACTGTTAGGACTAGACGGTATGCAACACTATGCCTGACTAGAATTAAAAAAAATATACAAAACTCTTGGGAGTAGTTGGGGAAGAGAAAAGAAAATGATAAAGATATATTGCATGAAAAAAAGTAATTAAAAACCCACTACAAATCTCAAGAATCTGATTATAGCTAGTGTTTTCATCCTTTCAAGAAAGCTCTTAGTCATGCATTTATTAGTTTTCCATAAAGCATTTTTTCTGCAAGTAAGATCACGTGTGAGTGCATGAGGACACACTTTGTGCACACACGCACCCGGAAGCTTACACTTGAAACATTTCTCTGAACACCGACAAGATAGGCTGTGGAAATAAAGGCCATCATTGTTACTCTTTGAAGCTGCTTAATATTCCCTCATATGAGTAGACTATAATCCTTTCCATTTTCTTTACTAAAAGGCATTCCCAAATCCTATGTTAAAAAAATTATTCAAAGCATCTTACGTTGCTTTTGAAAAAGATGCAAAGAACACCTGGAGTAATTTTTTTTTTTTTTGAAAATCACAAGGGATGAGCATTTGATACTCACTAGCAAGCCACCCTTCCCCAAGAGAACCCAATACTGTGTTGGCACACAAAGCTAGCTAGGCACCTGTGATGCTTAGGACGACTCAACAGATTCTAGAGTCACCAAGATGACAACCCTCCAGACACATCTGCGGGGAAGTTTCCCAGTTGGGCTAAGTGAGGTGAGAAGACCCAGGATGGCTCATGGACTCGGGGCCCAAGCTGAGGCAAAGGAGACAGTGACTTGAACACCGACTCAGCTACTGTCCGTCTCTCTTGCTTCCGGACTCTGGATGCAATGCTACGGGGCCAAATGCTCTTCCTTACGTATGATTCCTCCGTCCAGATGGGGAAATTCACCCCCAAGGTGCAAAGCGAATCCTTCCTTTCTTTTACACTCTTGTCAAGGACTTTGTCTCAACAAGAGAGGAGTAACTGGTACAAAACTTTTTTCAGTCTTTGGTATCCAATAGGCCAAATAACTCCAGTTATACAGTATCACGGCTTTTGCTTATTTTAACCTGTAGTGTATTATACATTTGCATTTTAAAAGATAACAGGTATAGAGGAGTTTTGAGGCCTTCTTTAGGTGCAAAGAGGCCCATCCCAAAATTACTCACACACACGAGTAAATGAGCAGAAACAACTAAACTGGAAAACAATATGTCAAAGAACAAACAAGCATGAGATTCCTAATTTTTTGTGTATATTCAGTGTACAATGTCTGATATTTTCACATCTGTATATAACATACATTGTACCCTTTCCCTCTTCTATCTCCCTCCATGTTCTCTTCCCCTGCATTCCCGTTAGTTCCCTTTGTTCTTGATGCTTCTACTTCTATTTTCGTGTCAGATGTAGAGACACAATCTTATGTACCTACGTGGAATCGAGGAGCTGTATATGAGAGAAATCATATAATACTTGTCTGAAACTAGCTTCATTCATTTTAAATGATCGTCTCCAGTTGCATGCATTTTCTGCAAATTACGTAGCTTTATTCTTCTTACATATATAATACTTTACTGCAAACAATGTAGCTTTATTCTTCTTACATATATGATACTTTTCTGCAAACAATGTAGCTTTATTCTTCTTATATACATGTAACTTTTCTGCAAACAATGTTGCTTTACTCTTCTTACATATATGTCACTCTCTCTTTACTTGTTCCTCTGCCGTTGAACATCTAGCTTGGTTGCATATCTTGGCTGTTCTACACAGTGGTACAATAAACAACGGTGTGCAAGTGTTTCTGCGAAAGACTGACCCGGGGTCCTGGGAGTCATGTGGTAGATCTATTTTTAGTTATGAGGAACCACCATACTTGTTTCCACAGACATTGATACTTCCCATTACCATAGCTGTGTAAAAGGGTGAGCCTTTACCTATATCTGTGCCCATATTTGTTTTTGTTTTCTTAATGACTGACTTTCTGACTAGGATGAGATGGAATCCCAGTGGAATTCTCGTCTGCATTTCTCTGATGGCTAGTGAGGCTGAACATGTTTTCATGTGTTCATTGACCATTTGTATTTATCTTTTGAGAACCGTCAGTTTTCATCACTTCATGATCTCATTTATTGACTGAATTGTTTGATGCCATATGAAGGATGTCATTGGCATTTTGATGATGATGACACTGGATCTGTAAATAGCTTTTGGCCTCTCATCCCTGGACACAGGAAGTCTTTGCGTCCTCTAGTGTCTTCTTCAATGATTCTTCAGTGTTGGAAATTTTTATTCAATAGAATATTTTATAGACACAAAAGTAAAATAGTTAGGATGAATTTTAATAGCATGGGAGAAACTATTGCACTATAAAGCTTGAAGAAATGTTTGAGGAAAAAGTCAGAATGCAAAATAATTTACAGAATAATCCTGTGGTAGTTATGATGGGGGGACATTTCATGAGAATGTCCCCCACAGGCTCAAGTATCTGAACTTGGTTCCCATTTGGTGGCATGATCTGGGGAGACTGAGGAGAGTTTGCATTGGAGGAGGTCTTTGGAAGCTTAAAGGCTTGAGCTGTCTTAAGTTCCCTCTCTCCCCTTGGGCTCCTGGTTAAGATGTGAGCGTTCACTTTCTGCTCCAGCTGCCTGCTGCCTCGGCTGCACCACCATGGACTCAAACACTCTGGAACCGTAAGTCCAAATAAACTCTTCTGTACGTTGTCTTGGCCGTAGTGTTTTATTATATATGGCAAGAGAAAAGTAATGAGAACAAATCCCAACTGTGTTAATACATTCACATTCATGGACACACGCATACACCTCCCAGAGAAAACAGCAGGGGGAAAATTTAAAAGGCAGAAGGCAGCTCAGATCATTAGTGTTGGTTATCTCTGTCAAGTGCAATTTTGAATGTTTTTATTTCTCCTCCTCCTTCTCATCGAGCCCTCTTCCCCTGCTCCTCCTCTTGCAGGTTGAATTTTCTAATCCATGGGACCTTTATCACTCTGCTGGTGTGCTTATTCGTGGCAGGGTTGGCAGTCACTCATTCTTGATCATTTAATGATGTCAACAAAGGATTTTGCCTGTGTGAAATATTTGGAGATAGACTGTCATTTATCCCCAGTGCGAAGAAATATGGCCATCAGTGTGGGCCCTGTGTGAGACGCAAGGTCCCAGCTCTTAAAGAGCGGAGTCTCTGGAAGGGAAAGAAGACACAAGTGTACATCTGAAGCTTCAGAGGAGAAAAAAGCATTTCTGAGAGTCATGGCAAGGCCTTCAAGCTGGGATAGATTTATTTTATAACTAATATTTGTTTTCCTTTCTTCTGACTCCATAAGTAGTAAACGCTTTGTGCAAAAAATAGGCAAGTGTAGAATATATTATCTTTTTTTTTTTAGGGGCCATGCTAATCTTCTCTGTATCGTTCCAATTTTAGTATATGTGCTGCCGAAGCGAGCACTAGAATATATTATCTTAAGTTGGGTTTCTATGGCTGTAAAGAGACATAACCGCAACAACTCTTAGGAAGGAAAACATTTAATGGGAGTTGGCTTACAGTTTCAGAGATTTAGTCCGTTATTGTTATGGGGAGAAGCATGGTATGTAGTGACATTTCATTTGTATTTTAATAAATAAAGCTTGCCTGAAGATGAGAGAGTAAAACAGCTGCCCTGGCCAGCCTTTCAGATCAGGCAGTGGTGACACACACTTTTAATTCTAGTAGCCACAATAGTTTGCCATAGAAATCGGGGGTGCATGCCTTTAATCCCAACACGAGAGAGGAATATAAGATGGGAGAAGACAGCTATCAGTCAGTCTCATTCTGACGATTCCTGGAGGAAGGATCACCATTTTCAGACTGAGGTAGAGGTAAGAGTCAGAAGGTAAGAGCCAGTGACTGGTTGCTTTGCTTTTATAGTGTTCAGGTTGAACCCCAATATCTGTCTCTAGGTTTTTATTACTCATACTGCAATGGCAGAATGCAGGCAGATATGGAGGAAATGAGAGGTCTATGTCTTTACACACAGGCAGCAGGAAAAAGACTGCCACACTGGGCACGGATTGAGCATATACGAGACCTCAAAGCCTGCCTGTTGTGGAATATTCGCTGAAGGTGTGTTTCATTCATTTATGCTATGGAGTATTTGTTTAATGATGCAAAAACGTCCTGCGTTCTTTTATGTTGCATTTGTTTAACTGTGGAGCTGTGTTATTTGCCTGCATGAAACACCTGATGGTTTTAATAAAGAGCCAAGCAGCCAATACCACGGCAGGAGAAAGGATAGATGGGACTGGCAGGCAGAGAAATAAATATGAGGAGAAATCTGGGAGGAAAGGATCAAGGATTGAGGATTGAGAGAAGGAGGAGGACTCCAGGGACCAGTCACACAGCTACACAACCAAAGAAAGGTATATGGAATAAAGATAAAAGCCCAGAGGCAAAAGGTAGTTGGTATAATTTAAGCTAAGAAAAGCTGGCAAGAAACAAGCCATGCTAAGGCCAGGCGTTCATAAGTAAGACTAAACCTCCATGTGTATTTATTTGGGAGCTGGATGGCAGGATCCCAAAGAGCAAAGAGTAAAATAAACAAACAAACAAGCAAACAAACTCTATTTTGGTGTCCAAGGTGGTACTCAAATATCTTTAGGGCCTGAGAAGACTGGGGGAAAGAAAAAGAAAAAGAGGGTATGGCTTCTTTAAGAGTTTGTGCCAGACAGTGAGCCCTTGAACATCCATAGGAACAAAAAACTAAGTATACATACATGTTCCTACTCGTGTTTAAGGTATTGTACCTATGTAATTTACTTTAAAATGTAAGGTAAAATTATAGTTTTGGAAAGCTATTATTATAAACTATTTAAGATAATCAAAAAACACAGGTCAGCAGTGAGTCATCTGTAATAATCAAATTTGTAGATCTGTTAGGTATGTTTCCAACAGAGATATATTTTAGATAGATAAATAATCTTCAGACACTTCAAAGACCTATGAAATACGCCATTTAAAAGGTGAGACAGTCCTTCAAAGTTCTTGCTTCACTGAAAACCTAACAGATATTCTAGGCCGATAGGCTGAAGATGGATGCCCCTACATTGATTGCAAAGGAACTGTGGGTGACTCTCCGGGCAGCCAGATGTCTGTGTTGTTAGGTAATATCACACCCTTCTGGGTTCTTTGGTGACGTTAAAGACTCATTTGAGTTGCAAGTTGCAGTTTTCCTTAGTTATGATACAAAGTAATTTAAGTATTAAACTTTGGACTCACAAAGGGAAACTCTGAAATATTAGTTTGAAGATGTGCTGAATTTATTTGTGCTATCCACAGCATATTTGTTTAATAATGCAAAGGTGTGTTGCATTCTTTTATGTTGTCTTTGTTTACTTTTGTGGAGTCGTGTTACTTTGCCTATCTAAAACAACTGATTGGTCTAAGCAAAGACCTGAGCAGCTAATAGCAAGGCAGGAGAAAGAAATAGGCAGGGCTATCAGACAGAATAATTAGAAGAAGAAAAGGAGAAGAAGGAGCAAGAAAAGGAGGAGAAGAGAATGCTAGGGACCAGCCACCCAACCAAACAGTCAAACATGGAATAAGAAGGAAAGAAAAAAAAACATACAGAAATAGAAAAAGGTAAAAACCCAGAGGCAAAAGGTAGATGGAATAGTTTAAGAAAAACTAGCTAGAAGCAACCCAAACTAAGGCCAGGCGTGCATAAGTAAGAAAAGTCTCTGTGTATTCATTTTGGAGCTGGGTGGCAGGCCCCCAAAGGGCAAAGAAAAAAATAAAACACTACACCTAGCCAGTACCAGGTTTATCTCACACCACAGAAAAAAAAAAAAAACGAGTCAGCGTGAGGTACATTGCTTTGTGGCGAGATTCCTCCACATACACAAGGCTTCTTCAGGTCTTTGTTCTCTGTGCTGTCCTGGGCACTCATCACCCAAGTGTCTTTGACACATAGACTTGAAGTAGACAAGATGACCAGAAAGTCATGCAGAGAAATGAGAATGGCTCTAGAACAAGCCCTGAGCCGTGGATGGAGATACCTTCTTCAGAATGGCCGAAAAGTGGGCAGCATCAGGAAAAAAACCAAAAACATAAACAAAAACTTTGCACACTCACAAGAGAAGCCGAATCCTAGAGATTGGGAAGAGAGGTGTTTTCCAGGCAGGGAAGAAGGGGAATGGGCATTTGCATAAAGGGACCAGCATCCCCAAAGACATTGCAGGGGATAAAAGAGGCAGCATGCTCTTCATCAGATGGCAAGAAGGATAGAGCCAAGCAATGCAATATTTGTATGTGAGAGAGTGACACACACACACACTGTTGTGTGTATAGTCTGATAGGTTAGGAGGCCAGAGAAGAAGTCGGGTGTCAGGTCATTAAATCTTATACAAAGCATATGATATTACAGAAGGGGAAAGGGGATTTGACAATGGTGTGGGATTCCTGGAAACCAGCTAATCAGGGTGAATTTTAGATACCTGCAAAACCAAAAGAAAAAAAGGACACACACACACACACACACACACACACACACACAGAGAGAGAGAGAGAGAGAGAGAGGGAGAGAGAGAGAGAGAGGGAGGGAGAGGGAGAGAGAGAGAGAATGAGACTCTCCACATTTTTTGATGTGAATGTTTTTGCTATTTTTTGTTTTGTAAGACAAAATGAGACTGGACTGGACTTTGGAAGACTCTCAGATTACATAGTTTGCAGGGAGCAGGAGAGGGATAAGTTGACGTGGATATGTATTAGTCTGGAAACTCCAGGACGTCATGGGATATGTGGGGTAAATAGCAGGTAATCCACAAGTACCCCACTCTCTCACCCTCATCTTCACCGAGATATGAATGACAAATAAAAATTATAGGCATTTAAGGCATACTGCGTGGTGTTTAACACATACATTGTAAGTGATCACCATAATCGAGATAATTAATGTATCTCTCAACTCATACATGTGACCTTTTCCCCTGCCTGATAAGAACACGTACGGAAAGCTTCCCTTATGCATCATTATCCCCTATGGATGCCATGCTGTACACAAGGTCTCTAGAGCTGTAGAACTCAGTAACCCATCCCTGTGAATCTGTATGTTGAACAAATCCCTCTTCTCCTTCCCCCTCGGCACGCAGTCGCCATCATACGCTCTGCTGTCTATTACTGTGAATGTGGTTCTTTTCAGAGTCACACATAGTGAGATGTTTCCCTAGTATAGTGATGTCTTTCAGGTTAGTCATTGGTCGCAAATGGCAAGATTTCCTCCTTTTTTGAAATCTGAACAATGTTTAAGGTCTTGGTTCTTGCAAGTTATGCTTCAGTGAACACGGGGGTGTCAGTAGATAGTGATTTTATTCTTTGGATGAATATCCAGATGTGAGATTACTGGATCATATAGTACTTCTAATTTGTATATTTTTGGGGGGCAATCTTTAGCATTTTTTTCATAATGACTATATTAATTTCCCTTCCCACCAATAGAGGACAAGGTTCCCTTTTCTCCGCACCCTTGCTAGTGCTTGCAGTCTTTTGACTTTTTGATAATTGCAGTCCTAACAGGCATGAGCTGGCAGCTTTTGGGGGTTTTGCTTTGTAGTTTCTCTGATGATCAGTGACGCTGAGTGTCTTCTCACATCCCTGCTGGCCATTGTTGAACAATCCAAACCAGCAGTTCAAAGCGTGCCGTCCCTCATCAACTCATCATATTCACCGCAATTCCCTAGCCCAGCGTGGAATTCACGCAAATAAATAGATGGTAGTGACCCAGTGTAATCAGGGCCCAGAACTTTGAAGATATCCAAGAGGGTGGGGTGGTGGAAACACCCAAGAGAGTCTTGGGAGATCTGGGCGGGCTTCTGATAGAAGCCGGATTGTGTAGGAGCTGTCGATCCTCGAATGAATAAGGCATAGTTTCTCCTAGAGTAGGTGGGGACACACACTAACAAAGGCAATGCCATTAGACACAGAACTGTAGCAGACTCCTCTCTCTCTCTCTCTCTCTCTCTCTCTCTCTTTCTCTCTCCCTCTCTCTCTAGTATCTTTCTTTAGTTGAAAAAGAATGTTCTCCTGCTCAAATTAGCCCTTTTTAAAGCTGAGCTATCTAGAAGATTGTCTGCCAGAACCCCAAAGTGGCAGGGAACCACCTTGCTGGGTGCAAACCCTGGGACTTTAAATAGTGGGTGCACATTCCTGCCTGACCAAACAAAATCCAGTGAGTCCTGGTGACAGGTGGTTTATGACTGTAGATTCGCTTCCCAGTGGCATCCATCAGTCCTCTTCCTCTGCTTTTCTGGTTTATTTCCCTTCACGCTGGAGCAAACCCATGCCGAGACAAGATACCTGCATGAATTAGGGGCCCTGACGAGGGAGGAGAAACATGCTTCTTGTATGGGATGGTGGGAGGCAGAAAGAAATCCAATGTACCAAAACAGAAAGTGACCCTCAGGCAAACACTTTGT